CGCCGGTGACGATCAAGTCATCCACATACACACCGACGACGAGCTCCACCTTCCCCTGTCGCTGCGTGTAGAGTGTGTGCTCGGTTGCACACCGTGTGAACCCAAGCTCGCCTAGCGTGGCGTCAAGCTTGGCGTTCCATGCTATCGGGGCCTGCCGTAGCCCGTAGAGTGCCTTGCGCAGTCGGTGCACCCTATGCTCCTCTCCCTTGACGGTGAAACTTAAAGGTTGCTTGACGAAGACCGTCTCTGCCAGCTCGCTATTGAGGAAGGCCGATTTTACATCCAGATGATGGACGCGCCAGTCCTATGCTGCTGCCAAAGCCAGTAGCAGTCGGACCGACTCCATGCGCGCTACCGGCGCAAAGATATCCTTGAAGTCGATGCCCTCGCGCTGGACAAAGCCTCGAGCGACGAGGCGCGTCTTATGCTTGACAATGGCGCCGTGCTTGTCCCGCTTGACTTTGTACACCCACTTCAAACTGATCGGACGGCATCCTGGAGGTGGATCGACGAGCTCCCAAGTCTCATTTTCCTCGATCGCCTTCATCTCCTCCAGCATCGCCCGTCGCCAATTTGAATCGCGCTCGGCCAGCGCAAATGTGGGTGGTTCCTCTGCACTGACTAGAAGCAGCTTAGGGTCATTGAGCAGCCGACCAGCCAGGCCTGAGGGTTTTGTGCCGCCGATGAGGTCGTCCAGCCTACGGAACCGCACCTCCTCACCGTCGTGGAAGGCATCCACGAACTCAGTGATGTCACTTGGAGGTGAGGCGAACTCGATCAGTGTTGATGGAGTTCCCTGTTCCGCTGTAGTGCTCGGCACATCACCTGGAGTGCTCGGCACCCTGGATGCAGTGCTCAGCACTACTCCTAGACAGCTTGTCACGATTCCTACAGTACTCGGCACCACTATAGGAGTGCTCAGCCTCAGTCTTGGAGTGGTCGGCACCACTGCAAGACGTCTTGGCTCCGCTACGAGAGTGCTCGGCACCCATCCTAGAGTGGTCGTCACCACTGCAGGACCTCCTAGCTCCACTCCTAGAGTGCTCGGCACCCCTCCCAGAGTGCTCGGCTCTATCGCTGGAGTGCTCGGCACTCCTCCCGGAGTGCTCGGCACCTCTTCCCTAGCGTCTCCACCACCGTGGATGACCAAGTGCTCGACGACGAAGGTGCTGGTGAGGCCGCCAGCTTCTCCCATTCTTGGACTATTCCAGTCCCAAGCCGCTTTCTCGTCGAACACGACTTCGCGTGAAACAAGCACCTTGCCTCCGCGTGGGTCATAGAGCCGGTACGCCTTGGTACCTTCCGCGTAGCCCAGGAACACTATCGGTGTGCTCCTGTCCTCTAGCTTGGTGAGGACCGGCTTTGTCCTCCTGATGTGGCCGATGCAGCTGAATATCTGGAGGAAGGACACGCTCGACTTCTGCCCATACCAAGCTTCAAACGGTGTCTTGCCCTTCAGGGCCTTGGTGGGCGCGCGATTGAGGATGAACACCGCCGTGGTCACCGCCTCGCCCCAGAAGCTTGCCGGCATGCCTTGGCCTTCATCATGGATCAATCCATGCCGACCACCGTCTGGTTCCGCCGCTCTACCATGCCATTCTGCTGTGGCGAGTACGGCGTGGTGTGGTGGCGTACCACACCATGCTCTGCGCAGTACTCAGCGAACTCCATCGAAGTGAATTTGCCACCGCGATCAGTCCTCTGAACGCGTAGCTTCTTGCCGCTCTCCGCCTCCGCGTGCGTCTTGAACTTCTTGATCGCCGCCGCCGCTTCGTCCTTGCTCGTCAGGAGTTGCAGCCACATGTAGCGACTGCAATCATCCACGAGAAGGAGGAAGTACCGCCGACCACAGTTTGCAGCAGGCGTGATTGGCCCGCAGAGGTCGCCGTGGACGAGCTCGAGAGCTTCCACCGCATGATACTTGGCTGCCTTTGGGAATGGTAGCCTCCTCTGCTTCCCGGCCAGGCTGCTATTACACAGCTCGCCTACGTGCTCGATGTGAAGCAGCCCTCAGACCATCTTCTCCAGCCGACCGAGCGCGTCAAATCTGAGATAGCCGAACCAGGCATACCACAGCCATGGCTCCTCGGTGTGCCGTGCTGCCAAGCACACCGGCTGCTCCACCTTCAAATTGAGAAGGTACAGCTGGTTCTGGGATTTTTTCACCTTGGCAAGAAGGCGATGTTCCTGGTCCCTGATCCTGAGGACACCGTCCTTGATCAGGATCTCGCTACCGCGCTCATCCAGCTGGCCAATACTGATGATGCTTGAACGTAGCTGTGGGATGTAATATACATCCATCAGCGCGTGGTGCTCGCCATTCTGGCACCTGAAGACAATGGTGCCGCGCCCTCGGATAGCCACCCTTGAGCCATTACCGAACTTCACCGTGCCGGTCACGTCGTCATCGAGCTCGGAGAAGGCTTCCTTGGAGTCCGTCATGTGGTTCCTGGCGCCAGAGTCCAGGTACCACCGCTGCTCCTATCCGCCTCCCACACGTCCAAGGCCCTTCCACCGCCATCACCTCTTCCTTCTCCTCGGCATCAAAGTCGTGCAGTGCACAGAACGTTGCCATCAGGATAGTGGCCTCATCCTCATCATCAGCCTACGCCAGATGAGCCTCAGCCTTCTTCTCCTGCTTGCGGTTTGGGCACTCCTATGCCCAATGGCCCGTCTTCCCGCAACACCGACAGGCGTTGGGGTCGACCTTCTTCTTTTACTCCGAAGAAGCCTTGCCGCAGCGCTTGCCATCGCCACCGCGGCTGGAGGAGGCTTTCCCAGAGTTCCTCCAGGCAACCCACTTCTCCTCTGTCAGCAAGAGCTTGCCACTGTCCCTCGTGGCTGCCGCCTGCTCTAGGCGCTCGTCCACCGCCCGCCACCAACCAGTCACAACCTCAATGGTGAGGGTGGACAGGTCCAGCATTGTCTCTATAGAGAGAGCGATCTGGATGTACTTCGCCGGTACGGAGTAGAGGTACTTGGATACCGCCTCTTCTTCGTCGATGGTGACTCCATGGCTCTTCAGCTTGCTGATGAGCGTCTGCAGGCGGAGGGAGAAGTCCTCCACCGTTTCACCATCCTTGAACTTGAGGATGGCGTACTCCTGCTTTAGCAGCTGGGCTGTTGCCTTCTTTGCGCGGTCAGAACCAACGCGCATCGCCGCAATGGCCTCCCATGCCTCCTTAGCAGAGCTCTTCGCCCCCAACGGCTCCCTATACTCTGATGGTACAGCAGCGAGGATAGCCTCCAACGCTGACATGTCATCTTCTTCATTGTCGGTGCCCTTGTCAACAGCATTCCAAAGCCGTCGGGCTTTGAGCTTAACCTTCATGGTCACCGACCACTTGTCATAGTTGGTGCAAGTCAGCGTCGGCCAACTGGTGCCGCTGACCTCTTACACCATGCGTACAACGACCTCCTGTCGTGGCTGGATCGCCACAGCAGCACCATTGCTGGTGCCTATCTCCAAACCGTCCGTCATCGCCAGCGGTTAGTCCGGCGACGGCACTTGTACCGCTCTGATACCACTTGTTAGCCCACTAGATCTTCGGCAAGGAGATAGCCGACCACTAACTAGTGTTGCTGCTGAGCACACACTAGCTATGCCGACCACGACAGTATCGCTGCCGACCACGCATTGGGTCTGCCGACCACGCACTATGGAACCGAGGTAGAAGACAGGAGGGAGAACAGAGTACACACACAGCACAAGCACCAGCGTTGCCCGGAACTCTGCAGAATGAGATAGCAAACTGAACTCTCTTTTTTACTGAGTTGCAGTGGGAAACTATATATACAACTCTACCTATCTAATCCCAATACATAGACATGTTAGGCTGCCATGCTGCTACAGTGACTAGATATGACAGCAGGGCTGACTTTGGCGTCTGCCCCTGCTGCGACTACAATGCGGTAGGTGAGCCTTTCAACGCCTGCCCCTGCAATGCTACAGTGACATAGCAGAGAGCCTTTCAGCGTCTATCCCCTGCTGCGTTCACACCTAGGAAAGCTGTGAATTATCTAACAGTTGTTGCTATGCTGGACATTGCAACATGCCTTTATGACGCAATAGCAAGACTGGAAAAGGCTGCAGAACAAGGAAGTGCAATAGCAGCTGCTGTTGAAGGGGTCGAACATCAATTAGGAGGCAACTTTTCAGGTTTTTTGCATTACATTTAATATCTCAAAATTCTCAATTCAAAAACCATTTTGGTCATATGAGTAAATTGATTTAATCTATAAGGTATATTTTATAAATAGTAATCATGCTAACGCCTTATCATTCTAAATCCATGTGAACTTCATATCATACCAATTCGCTAGGTATATCATATTCTGCTGCTACTGTACATGCTTCTATTATATATCTTTATTGTTGTAACTACATTTTAAAAACTATTTTTTATGTTGTATCATCTTACAAATCATTTAAAGTTAGTTATTTTCTGTGGTTACAGCTTCTTCTGCTCTCATTGAAACTCTAAGAGAGAGGATGTTCAAACCTTCGTTGTCAACCATCGTCACAGAGAATACAAAGTATAACATTGATTTTCTCTGATTATTTTCTTTCAATTTTTAGCACTAGAAAGGACATTGGGCTTACTATGCTATCTTCCAGAGTAGCAATTGTTTCGCCTACAGATCCTGTGTGTGTAGCAGCACAGAAAATGCGAGAGTTTCAGGTTAATTCAGTGGTTGTTGCTACAGGAAACCCATTGCAGGGGATCTTTACGTAAGCAATGTATATTAGCAAAACATTATTGTCCACGATTCCCTTGCTAACTGTTGATGGTGTATGATTATGTTGTGCAGCTCAAACGATATACTTATGTGTGTTGTGTCATAAAATATTTCCCAAGGTATTCCATTATATTTACATTTTTCTTTTTCTAATTGTCTAAGTTGTCCAGTTGCTTGTACACTAACTGTGTTCATTATAAAATCTTCAGGTTGTGCCACATTAGATACAACAATTTTTGATGCATTACATATAATGCATGATGGCAAATTCTTGCATATTCCTGTTATTGGCAAAGGTACTACCTGATTTCTGTCTCAATCTTTGAATATCGTACTGCTCCTTTATATGCTACAAGTTTAATCTTCATTACTGTAAACAGAAGGACAGATTGCTGCTTGCCTGGATGTCCTGCAACTTACCCATGCAACTATTCAATTGGTGATTCGTAACTCCCTTTATTCAGCTCTCTTCTGTTCATACATGAATTTGTCTATCTAATTCTTTACTTGTAGGTTGAAGGAGGGAATGGAACTGTGAATGATGTCGCAAACTCAGTAATGCAGAGGTTCTGGGACCCTGCTCTTGCATTGGAGCCTCCACATGAGGAATTCGATAGCCGTAGGTTTGTTGATGGGTCTTTTAAGGGTTATTTTTCTTCCGTTTTCCTACGAGGCTATGATACAACTCTCCTTGTATTGTTCAGCGAGGTATCCTTACTCCTGCAGTCAGAGGCTGTAGATGGAAAGAGTAGTGTTTATCCCCCCGTGACTGGTAATTCATTTTCCTTTAAGCTTCAAGATCGAAAAGGTCGTGTGCACAGATTCACTTGTGGTATTTACTTGTGTTCCATAGTTTACCTGCAGATGTAAGATACGGTTGCATCGTCAAATATAACTGATTGTTATTTTTTTTTTTCAATTCACTGCAGGCTCTGAGAGCTTGGACGAGCTTGTGTCTTCTTCTATAAGACAAAGATTAAGTATTGCTGATGAAAAAGAAGCAGTGCAACTCTTGGTAAGATCAACTGATCGAGTACTTCAGCATCAGAATGGTCCTATGATTTAGTAGGCATACAGAGCATTTAACTTCCCAACATTCTGAAGGTCCGATAGGATATAGATTAGGTGCCCAACATCTGATAGCAAAAGCCAAAGTTTCCCTTGCTCTGTTGATGAAAAATTAACTGTGTTCATTATACTTCACGGGCTTGGACTATCATCCATGTGACCATGTCTTTGCATCACCATGGGTGATGGTATAAATGGTTTCAATCACCATTCCATTTCACCAACTAAAAGATGATTTGTATTTGCCTGCACTAGCCAACTTGATCTTGTTCTATGTAGTATGAAGATGATGAAGGTGGCCGAGTGCTGCTGACAACAGACGCCCATCTTGCTGGTGCAGTGCTGCATGCCAAATCATCTGGGTCGAAGTTAACTCTTTTTCTTGCCTTCTGTGATTATCTATTCCAAGTGCAGATTGTAGGGCTACAAATTACTAGCTCAATCCACCTGACTAAAAACAAATGGTCACCATGAGGTGCTGAAGTTGCACATCGAAGATCCCAGTTTGAATACCCAAGTGACAAAACCGTCACAGGAGCTGGCACTACCTCCCCCGCAGGAGTGGGATATCGCTGCTTCATTTTGGGTTAACGGCTGGTGTAGTCGCTCTCAATGGCGCAGCAGTGATGGTTTACTTGAAACGCAACGATCTTAGCTGTGATATCCAAAACCGGAGGATGGCTTTCTTTTCTTTTTTGAGGAAATTGGTGGCATCTGAAACAAGCATTGCCATCAGCTAATGCATTCTGAAGCTTTGCCTTCACTCAGTGCCATTTACAAGCTAAGAACTGACTGAAAGTACTGAAATGAAGATCATATCTGTCATCTGTTGATGAACTGGAGGTTCATACAGGTCACTGGACAAGATCGTTGTTTTTTGGAGTAGGCGGATTTCTGGGCAGGACGTCCTGCCTATCTTTGTTCAGTCTGCACGAACGTGGACAGTTTCACGACTATAGTGTAATATACGTAAACTTTACATATGTTCCCGGTTCATACTTGTGTACTTGTTTGTTGTAGATATAAACAGATGAAGTAAGCTCATTTTCAGATGACACTGTTGTTTCAGAGGGTAATACTGATTCGTCTATTAGGTGTTCATGTCAAGTTTGGTAAAACTGCATTCTGTAACTTCATGTGACAATTACCAGTAGATAACTTGAGCACACAGCATTACCCAAACAGGCAAAAACCCCACCTACATCAGCTGAGCTGCAGGCTCCTGAAAAGCCTGTTTATCCACGGCAAGTCATAGTTTACATGAAACGATGTGGACTGACATTGGGAGAGATCGATGACTTGTTTTCAGCAATATCGCCAGCAGGTAACACTGGTTATCTGAAGAAATTTGTCCTCCACTCATTAAACGCCTAGAAAGAAAAGGAGATGAGTCACATGTCAAAACTGATACAGAATTCGTTGCAGCGGGCATGCTGCGCATCGCCGTGTTGATAGGTCATCACTTTTGCAGATAATGATAAAAGTCAAGTGACAAGATTCAGAATGTTATAATGTCCCTTTATTTCCCATAATATAAAGATCATAAGGAAAACTAACAGATAACTGACTCGACACATGTACCATTTTTCAAGAACTAGACTAGAAGAAGAGGACTGGAGGGGTTAGGAGAAGCAAAGAAGGAAAAGCAGGGGTGAGTGCTCTCATCCATTCTTCCGCGAGCAGCGAGAGTCTTAGACCAATCCGGAATAAGCATTGGCGGCCGGCCAAAGGCGGCGCCACGGAGCTCCGTTCCTCGGGCCCCATGGGCGTGGTGGAGTCGTCGTCGCGCGCGAGATGAGTACTGGCTGTCCCGGCCTTTGCCACCCTCCCGGGACGGAGGAGGGCGGCGCCGTGTCCTCCCCTGGGCTGTCCTCGCCGGTGGACGTGGACGGCGGCGGCGACTTCGTCTCCGTTGTCGTCGTGCTCGAGGCGCAGACCGCCCCTCGATCGAGCTACGTGGTGAGCTCCATGTTCGCTCGCCTTCCCTGCGGCTGCATGGGCTGCCTTTGCATCGTGCCTGTGCTGCTGGATTTATAGCCTGGGGATCGTGCCTGTGCTCGAGGCGCAGATAGACATGCAGTGTTGGGGGCTATAGCTCTGAGATACGGCGGGATCGGGCGGGCGGTTACTGATTGACTGAGTGCCTTGTCCGGGTTCCATGCGCGTCCGGTTAGTTGAGGGGCAGCACGTACTTGGAATGCATGCCGTTCGTTGCCGTTGCGGAACATTTCCTTCATCGTACATGGCTGATCGCGATCATTTCCTTCCTTTCCACCATCGGACTCTACACAATTTTTGTGATATATACTAAATTGATGTTATTTGATTCTTGCTGTAATTACTTACTCCTAATTATATACCATTATTATTCATTACGACTGTGTATATATCTCACATAATTCTTCTGTTAGTTACTCCCTTAATCCCAAATTGTAAGACGTTGGACTCTTTTGACATCAAGTTTGATCACTCGTCTTATTAAAAAAAAATATGTAAATATAGTCAAATTTAAGTCATTCTTGAAGAACGTTTATTAATATACCAAGCCATAACAAAAGAAGTGATATTTTGCACAAAATTTTGAATAAGATGAGTGGTTAAACTTAATGTCAAAAAAGTCAAACGCTTTATAATTTGGGATGGATTGAGTAGTAAGGAAATGCGTCTACACCTGTTGAACAAGTATGATCCGCTGCTCTTTATTTGTTCCATCCTAGCTAGTATATTTTAGAAGATATATCTCATTCTCATGCACGCCACGTTAGTACTGATACAGTGCTACCGAGATTTGAAAACCGAAAAGCACTTTTATTTGCATCAGACCACAACAGAAAGCAGTGAACATAATAAAAGAAAAATGAAAACTTCATCTTCCGTTCAAATAAAAAAAATGTAAAACTTCATCGAGATTATTGTTCGTGTGGAAACCAGAAATGCCATAGACCGCTTGCCATATGGACAAGCTATGTGCTATGTATTTAGATATATTATTATATATAGATACATAACAAAATAGATATTCTAAGAAATTCAAAGCGACTTATAATTTGGAATGGAGGAAGTAGTACCGCTCATGGCGCCGAAGAGAGCCCACTCCACTGGATGCATGGGCCGCTAATACCACTGGGGCCTGTTTGCTTGAACTGCTTGTCAGTTATGGTACATTATTTTTCCTCCCACAGCAAAACAACATCAGCCGCACAAACCATCGGCAACTCATAAATTTTATCTGTCTATCTATATAACAATCTAACCTATATAGATACAACCCACTAAAATTTATTTACTATGTTTTCTCTGCAACATAGATATAAATTTTCAAATGTTAAATACATTTATGATGGTTGCATCTCATATTTTTTGTTGTGAAAAGTTTTCAAAAATATGTTTAGATATTGATTAGAATATTTTGAGTATTTTCTAGATTTTTTTCTTCTTTTTCTAGATCCAAATCTATATTTTGAAATTTTCTAGAGATATTTTCACGAGCTCTAAATATTGGGTCCATCGTGACCGTATATGTATCTCTAGTTTTTCCTTAGAATTTTATGTAGTAAAGATTCTGGTGAAAAAAACACTCCAACAAGTTCTTTAATTAAATTTTCAAATAGAGACATCATATGTTCCGGATTTCTCACTAGCTAAAGATATAGAGCAGGGTTGGCTTAGAGTGCGCAAGAGATATAGACAAATTATTAGAGGATGTAACGATATAGAGAACAACTTTATTCAAATGGTTCAAATAATGATTTAGAAAATAAGTTTAAGGCCTCATTTGGTAGGGCTCCTCTCTAGCTTCTACGGAAGAGCCCTATTAAACGGTTTACTAAGAGGAGATGTTTTTTAGTGAATAAAGAAGGAAACGACTCCTCTAAGCGGCCTGGCTCCTTCAGAGGAGCCATATCAAATAAGGTCTAGCAGAGTCTCTTGGATATGCTATTAGAAATATTTTTTGGGGGTTAAAAACCATTTCATATATTTACAGGATCTTTCATAAGAAAAGTGAGACCAACTTGAAAACCACTTTTATTCAAGTGACTCAGGTACTTTAAATGGTTTTAAGAGTTTTTTAAGATATTCGGTTTTTGAGTTAAAGAGAAAAATCATGCTGGTATTTCAGTTTGGCAATGAAAAGGACTTTTTCATTCGCATAGAGAGAAGTACTCCAAAGCTCCAACCTCAATGTGTTGTTCATGATAGCTTGGTACAAGATCATGCTTTTCTCACTAAGGAACTTTCCAATAAAAAGACTAAAACTAGTGAGAACTCATCACTTGGGTCAAATGATCAATCGCATAATGTTGCTAACCCATGTGATGTAGGGAAGAAGCATGTATCCACCTTTTGTGATGATTTATTAGAAAAACCATACTCTTCACATATAGATGTTTGTTCTACTTTCTTGCCTTGTGAGACTAACCTTTTGAAGGAGAACAATGAGCTCAAGAATGAAGTGAAGAAATTGAGCAACAAGTTAGAGAGGTGAACTCAAAAGTCATGTTTGAGCATATGTTGAAGACTCAAAGAAACTTCGGTGATAAGAGTGGCGTTGGCTTCAAAAAGAGGATGACAAATGGTGAAAGAAAAAGGGCAAAGAAGATAAAGAAGCAACTACAATTGAAATTGTCTCACTCCATATGCTAACGGTGTCATGAAGCAGGACACCTTGCAAATGGTTGCCTAAATATTGAGAAGCTCAAGAAGATGAAGGAAGAAGAGAGGCTAAAGCATGTCAAGTGCTTCAAGTGCCGCACTTGGGGTCACCTTACCTCAATGTGCCAACCAAGCAATTAGTAAAGAAACAAGAAGAGCCTTAACCAAAGCCACAAGATGAGCAAGAGAAGACTCTCCAAGAGCAAATTAAAATCAACCATGAAGACGGTGGTGACTTGATGATAAAGAAAAAGAAGAAAATAAGAAGGGGTGAAAGAGTAAAGCATCCAATGCAAAATCAAGATGTAAAGATGATGAGCAAGACTCAAGATGAGAAGAAGGTGCATGCTCATATCATGTGCTTCAAGTATGAGGATATGGGACACTTTGCCTCGAAGTGTTCTACCAAGCTTGAGAAGAAGGTTCAAGCAACTCATGAGAGGCAAGACAATGAGAAGCACCACATGAGCAAGAAAGAGAAGGCTCAATTAAAGAGAAAGTGCTACTCATGCCGGGAAAGGGGACACATAGCACATTCATGTCCCCTAGGTAACATCCCTAAGCCTATTTCAATTAATGATGATTTTATACTTAGGAAGGATGGCAATGGTACCTTATTGGTTGTAATTGCAAAATATCCTGCTATTCATACTAAGGTTATGTCTAAGTATGTTACTCCTAACTTGAGAGGACCCAAACTAGTTTGGGTACCATCAAAAAAATGGATAATTGTTTGTAGGTACTATAGGCATTGGAGGCTTGATTCAATTATTTTCATATTGATCATCATATGTTGAATCAAGTATTGAAGCTTAATGCAA